TTTTTTTTTTTTTCTTCAGGATTTCATTTTAGTGTAATCTCTACACCCAACATGAGGCTCAAACTCACAACCCTGACATCCCCTGATATCAAGAGTTGTGTCTCCCCTGACTGAGCTAGCTATGTGCCTGTTAAGAGGGAGCTTTTGTTTTTTAAGTTTTGAGAGAGAGTGAGCGAGCAGTGGAGAGAGAAAATTTCAAGCACTGACAGTGTGGAGCCCAACGTGGGGCTCAAACTCACAAACCATGAGTGAGATCATGACCTGAGCCAAAACCAAGAGCTGGATGCTTAATGACTGAGCCACTCAGGCTCCCCAGGAGGAACTCTTTTAGTAACATTTTGTAATCAGAAATTTTTGGCGTGGGAAAAACAAGGAATAACGATGCAAGGAATAATAATAATGGACTATGAAAACATCACATAGTCCAGGAAAACAAAAATGCAGAACTAAAGTGGAGAGAAAAGTGAAGTGAAAGAATTTCCATCGTCTGTTCTGGTTGGAAACCAAAGTGAAGAAGGTGGGAGAAAATAGAAGAGGGGTGCCTGGGTGGCTCAGTCGGTTAAGCATCCAACTCTTGATTTTGGCTCAGGTCATGCTCTCAGTTTGTGAGTTTGAGCCCTGTGTTGGGCTCTGTGCTGACAGTGTGGAACCTACTTGGTATTCTCCATTTCTCCCTCTCTTTCTGCCCCACCCCCCCAGCTGTGCGCTCTCCCCAAAATAAATAAATAAATATTAAAAAAAAAAGAAAGAAAGAAAGGAAGGAAAAGGACAGAAGAGCTGGGTTTTCTCCAGCATGGGTGGGGTCTTGAACCAAAATACTGACAACAGGTAAAACTGGTCAGGGTCTTGTGAACTGCCACCATGGAAGCTACTGCTCTGATGAGCAACACAGGTGGCTAAATTTCTGGAACAGGGCCAGTCTCAAGTTACTTCCTGTTCTCCAAAATGGCTACAAGAGGATTTGATTTTTTCAGACTGTGGCTTATGATCCATTAGTCATTCATGAAAGCGTCAGGTTACACAGCGACAAATACATATTCTGTGAAACCTTTCTTTTGGTTATATATGTGTATTTCTTGCTATACTTGGGAGCCACACGGGTTTATGAAGCTCTGGCAGGGCAAGGGCTCTCCCAGTCCCAATTACATCAAACACTTCACATTAATCTTGGCACAGCTAAAATGAAAAAAGAGCCATACATCTCATTATCTACCAATAACAGTACCACAGTGAAGCTCACATTGTTATTTAAAATATATAATGTAATTATGGTATTGATAGTATAAAAATTAAAGGCTTATGAAAAACTCAAGAGAGGTCAAAGGGCATACAAGCAAGTAATATACAGATCATTTCCTTAAAAGATACATTTTAATATACAGAATAAAATCCAAGATTTTACTTTTCATGATCCCCCCAAATCTGTGGACATGAATACTCTGAATCCGACCAGGAAAGTTTATATTTTGGTCCAATACATTATTAGACAAGTTGTATGATCAAGTCCGGCTTGATTATCATAAATCATAGAAGTTAACAGAATTTACCTTGAAAATTGGTTACTTTTGTAGGTAAAATCCCCTATTTTTTTCTTAGCTAAGAGTTTACTCAACTTTAGCCTCAGAACCAGATTCAAAACCAGCTTCTTTCACAGCTGATCATCATTTTAGGTTTAATTTAGGCAAGTTATTTAATAGTTTATTGAAGATCATACAAAAACTCCACAATAAATAATGAAAAGAGTATGCAAAATCATTAGCCTCTGTTTGCAATACAGAAAATACATGTCAGTTCTGGACCAAAATAATTCCACTGAAATACAGACAGTGGCAGGAAGAATGAAAGGGTCTGTAGTGGCTGCGTCCAGTGGTTGGCCACAACCAACCACCACCATCAGCTACTGTGGCAAGTGAGGGTGGGTTTCAATTTGCAGATAAAGAATGTCTTCGGTTGTTTAAAAAAATAGAAACTCTAAAAAAGCTTGTGAATCATATACAAAAGCAGCTGTTTGAGACCAAGGTTGAGAACCAGAAATTGTGTGTTAGCACCGCCAGCAAGCACAGGTTCTGTGACTCATCTGCCCTCTTCTCTTGTGCAGGATGCAGACTCGATGTTGCACACACCATTTGCAGGTATAAAAATTGTCCTGGAATCCAGGGTTCCTGTAGGGTAAAGTCTTAAGCCCTAAGAGGCACCAAGCGGTTACAAAAGCTAGGCAATCATCCAGATCACAAGTTCCGACGATATAATAAATCTCGTGTTGCTTTATCAACTTTTTGCTGGTAGTCCTCCAATTTGTCAAGTATTTTCTGGGACAGCTGGAGGAGAAAAGAAGGGAATCGTTACAGAATAGGTCAAGGACTAAAAAAAGACTGAAGTTAGTCATCACTTTGACTTCACCAACTAGCTTCCCCCTAATGACGATGTCGCCACTCTGCTTCACTTACTCAACATTCAGTACCGGAGTCTGTTCTGTGATTCTACTGATAAAATTGGATTCCACTGTTCACACACACTATCCCACTCCTGTTCTAATGAATTTTCTAAACATGCAAATCACACCAGTATTTTAATAAATGCATTACTGGCTATCTTCTCAGAACCGGAGAGGCTACATGTGATTTAACTAATCATTTTATAAAGAGATTGGAGCAGCATGTTAAGGGCAACAAATGTTTTCTGTTCTCCCCTTAATCCTTGAGAGCTGAAGAGCCAGCTTCAGGTGGGAGTGCTAGTGCAAGGGCTCATAAAAGACACCTGCTCCGCCTCATGAAAGGACTGACTTACAGCAATGTTGTGACTGTTGGCACTGTTCTCTCCCAGAGCCTGGAGAAGCTGGTCAATAGAAGAGTATGGGAGCCACACCATTGGCGCTGTTGCAGACAATGGAAACTGGAAAGACAAATATCTGCTATTTGAAGAAAATCTCAAAAGTGGACCATTTCTTCTGGGTAGTTTCATAGGTTTGGACAACATAAACTAGTGATTTTTTTTCGCAGTAAGAAATTGTGTATGTATGTATGTACATGTACACAGACACACATTTGTACCACCCCCACCCCCTCGCTTCTCTTTTCAACTGGGAAACTTGTCCTTTTCTTAGTGAAATCAAATGTATTTAAAAATTTTTTTAATGTTTTATTTTTTTAATTTTTTTTTTTTTTGAGAGAGAGAGAGAGAGAGAGGGAGGAAGGGAGGGAGAGAGAGAGGGAAAGACAGATTCTGAAGTAGGCTCCAGGCTCTGAGCTGTCAGCATGGAGCCCGACGCAGGGCTCCAACCCACAAACCATGAGATCATGACTTGAGCCAACGTTGGATGCTTAGCCAACTGAGCTACCCAGGCGCCCCCAAATGTATTTTTAAATTCATGTCACCTCTTATCTTAAAGTAACCCTAAGGCCTATCAAGGAAAAATACACTCAATAAAACTCTAAATTGTCAATGAATGCTTCTATTTGCAGTCTGAAATATAGATTCAAATTAACTGGAAAGAAAAGTTTGGAAAAGGAAAGCTCACCTTTCAAAGTTCTGAATACTTTTCTGAGAGTTTAAGAGCTTGGCTTTGTAGACCCAGATTTTAGACCTGGCTCTTCCATTTACCATCTGTGTGAGCTTTGGCAACTTACTTAACCTTTGAACCTCTGTTTCTTTGTGGGTTTAAAAAAAAGGGGGGGGGGTAAAACAATCTCCCATAGGTGGCTGTAAGGATTAAACGAGAAAACACTTGCAGAAATTCAGCACAGTTTTGGAACACAGAAAATAGCATTTTGTTCTTAATTACCTCTTTCCTCTAAATACTAACTAAAGCTACGTTCCTTTGATGGAGAAAAATGAAATGTATTTCCATTTTATAACAGGAAACTGGGAAATCCTACAGTGCCAGTCCCTGATTATAAGGAAAACTAGTCGTGAGGACTCCTGGCTGGCTCAGTTGGTGAAGCATGCAACTCTTAATCTTGGGGTTGTGAGTTGAGCCCCATGCTGGGTGTAAACATTACTTAAAAATAAAACCTTTTTTGGGGCGCCTGGGTAGCTTTGTCAGTTAAGCGTCCGACTTCAGCTCAGGTCATGATCTCACGGTCCGTGAGTTCGAGCCCCGTGTCGGGCTCTGTGCTGACAGCTCAGAGCCGGGAGCCTGTTTCAGATTCTGTGTCTCCCTCTCTCTCTGCTCCTCCCCTGTTCATGCTCTGTCTCAAAAATAAATAAACGTTAAAAAAAAAAATTAAAAAAAAAAAAACCAAAAAAAAACCCACCTTTTTTTTTTTCTTAAAGTTTCTTTATTTTGAGACAGAGAGTGTGCAAATGCATGCAAGTGGGTGAGGGTCAGAGAGACAGAGAGAGACAGAGAGAGAGAGAGAGAGAGAGAGAGAGAGAGAATCCCAAGCTGGCAGCTCAGAGCTGATGGGAGGCTCGATCCCATGAACTGTCAAATCATGAAATGAACTGAAATCAAGAGTTGGACACTCAACTGACTCAGCCACCCAGGCACCCGAAAAATAAAATCTTAAAAAACAACAAAAACAAAATAACTAATCGTGTAACTACAAATAGTAAAGGGTAAATCCACTATTCTATAGCTCAATCTACTTTCACATCCTGACTTTATTAGAGTGATAATACAGAAACACATATGCATGCCTACCTCAATTCCAAAGTACTGATGTCCTTTCCCCAATACAGCATCTACATATTCTGAAACCAAATCCACAGCTTCTTCTAAAAGGTCATAATTTAAGTACAAACGGAGCAACTCAGCGGCATCGACCTTCTGTAAAGAGTCAGAGATTAAGAACATCTACCTATTTCCATCTTACCTGGGCAGCGACCAAAGGATGCAGAGTGTCTAATTCCCTGGGATTTATACTTCTCAATATAAATAAATGAGCATCTTGGTTTACTTATCCTGGGACAAGGGTTGGGTTCCTTAGAGCCCAATTACTTCTGGGTACCTTGTAAGACTTTATCTGTTAAGTGGTCTTCCTGCCCTGTTTTGTAATCTAAGACACATTTTATTATTTTTCTACTTCAGTGTCCACAATAGTAGTAAAAGTCAACAAATCTTCTCAGAAATGCTGAGTACTGAAGAGATGACATATTCACGTTAATTCCCAGAAATATATGAATGACAAATGCAAAAGAAGTTAAAAGAATTACCAACTTTCAGTACCTGAATTAAAACTTTTCAACTCAGGGTGAAACAAAAGTGAAAACAACCTCAGTTTGGAAGGGCTCTACTAACTATGTAATTATGCTTTCCATATTCTGATATGATCACATTTGTAACTTTCATCATCTTAGCTGCTTTTCTACTTTCTAATTTAACAACAACAAAACCCAAAAAGAAAAAAAAAGATCAGTTTTCCTGATTTTAAGCATTACCTTCTCTCTTTCCCTATTCCACTCTATGTATTTCAGATATAGCTTTCACACTTAAGCATGCATTATTTCAAATTAGGAGCTTGTTAAAATATAGATCCCAGATCCTGGCTCCAGATAACCTGATTCTCTAAGTCTGGAATGGGGCTCAGAAATCTGTATTTTGAAGAAGCCCACTACCCAAATAATTCTGATGCAGGTATTCCAAAAACCCAATTTTGATAAAACTCAAACCCTGCTGCAGTTTTGAAAACAACTCCACTCACTCCTGTGAATTTTTTGCGTAATGAACAGTAAATACTGTGTCATGCACATAGTCATTGTTCAGTTGAGCACACAAGCAGGCATGAACTTAATCACTAACCTGTAGAACTTTAATTCTAAACACCCAGTACTTCATACAGAATTCAAGTTCAGCTGTTCTTAGTGTTTTTAGATAACTTTAAGAAGTTGCCCAAAGTATATGTCAGTATGTTTCCATAAATTATCACCTCTACTTTTTAATCATCTCATGAAGTTATTCATACTGATAACGACCAGCTTCTTACTCTATACGAGTTAAGATACCACTTACCTTGTAACTGTTTATTAGCCAATTAGGTAGAGGTACTCCATGAGACAAGAGCTTGTTGATTACACAGTGGTGATATAAGTTATTCCGAACTTTGTACCTTTCCAGATAAGTTGATAATAGTCTCCATGCTTCATCTGTAGCACTTGATAAAAGCAGAAAGGACTAATGAGTTCCAGATTCTTAACAGATATTTACAGCGCCATTCAAAGCATCTATTTACAAGGAGAAAAAAAATCTTTAGAAGCTCACAACTGAACTGAAAATATAACTACATGGCAACTAATATCATTAGGGTCAATGTGACTTAGGGGTAGTACTAGAAACCAAATGACATGGATTGTATCTCTCCCACTAATCACATCTTTACTCAACTACACAATTCATTTAACTTCTTTGTTACGGATTTCTAAAACAAGGAAATAGGCTCACATCACTGTTTCCAAACCCGATCAAGCATTAGAATCATGCAGAAGTTCTGCTTTAGAAAATGAGGGCAATAGATCTGTATTTTAGTAGTGATATTGGTATGCTAATTTAGGGGTTGAAAACTAATGTCAGAGGACTGCCAAATCGTTAAATGCCCCAATTCTAAAGTTGTGTAATACAAACTGTAAATGCGATTCAAGGAAGGGAATTTTACTGAGGGTTAGGGTTAGAGAAGGATTCCAAAGAAACTGAAGTGCATTCAGGTAGACATGAATTGGGCACTAGGGGAAGTGTTTGGAAGGTAAGCCCTTTGGGGCAGAGGAGCACTAGAGCTGTACCTGGACTCCTTAGTGGTGATGACTGATGAGAGCTGATTGGCTGCTAGCCAGGACCAGGCTTCTGCTTGGGCTGCCTCGCCCCCTAACTGCAACTTGATGCATCTGTAACGAAAATGGTTCCACACGCCATAAACTAATCTGCTGAAAACAATCACATTATTTTGTTACCAAAACTAGAGATAAGGTGATAACTTTAGCTCTGGTCTGCTGCTGAATTCACTACTGGGGAATACTGGCTCTTTCCTCCCCTTACAGCCACATAACTGGAGGACCCACAAGGCCATTGGTAAGTGTTAAGAGAGAATTTACTTCAAAGGGAAAAATTCTGCAAGTTTAAAAAATATTTCCAATTCACAAACTACTTGACTAATATTTAGGTACAAGGTTACTTCAATAAAAAGTACTTTTTTTTTTTTTTAATTTTTTTTTTTTTCAACGTTTATTTATTTTTGGGACAGAGAGAGACAGAGCATGAACGGGGGAGGGGCAGAGAGAGAGGGAGACACAGAATCAGAAACAGGCTCCAGGCTCTGAGCCATCAGCCCAGAGCCCGACGCGGGGCTCGAACTCACGGACTGCGAGATCGTGACCTGGCTGAAGTCGGACGCTCAACTGACTGCGCCACCCAGGCGCCCCTAAAAAGTACTTTTTAATAATGCTTACAGGGGCCTAAAGGATTGAATGCCTTTTCTAAAATGGACCCCACTGTTGACGCCACATTATCTACTGTCCTGTGGGAATGTAGGCCTGGGAATGCCAGGTTTTTTGAGTTCTCAAGAGAAGCTATAAATCAAGATTAAAAAAAATCATAATTAAAAGAAATTATAAAAATCACTGTGGTAGACTAGACAAAAGCATTTCTTTAAAGCACTACTGGCTTAGGTACTGTGCTGACAGTGTGCAGCCTGCTTCAGATCCTCTGTCCCCCTCTCTCTTTGCCCCTCCCCAACTCATTCTCTCTCAAAAATAAACATTAAAAAAAAAGAAAGAAAGAAAATGAAGACCATGGAAAGACAATTTCATACATACTTGAAAGCAAGTCCCTCAAAGACTGGCGTCAAGGGAAGCTTAAAAGTCTGACAGAGGGATATGGCAGTGTCAAAAAGGCCAGCCTGAACCAAGAGAGAGACCATCTCCTCTGCTGATGAACTTCCTGTGAAAATGGAAAAGAGCTTTTTAGTGCAAACAATGGTGTATGTGGATGACCCAAAGCCCCAAAGCCGCCCCTGGTATGAGCATCTCAGAGGAAGAGTGAGAGGCTCTGGCCAGTCTAGCCTACTGTGTCCACCGCCCGGCCTGAAGCAAAGCGTGCTGCCAGTGCTCCCAGAATGCCTCATTCCTACCTGCAACTGCAACTGCTGACGGGTCATGCTGAGCCAGAGTGAGGCGGATTCGGGCCAAGGAACACTCTTTTTCCAGGTCTCCCAGTTCCAGAATTTCAATCTGCCGATTGGCTAGAAGCCAAAGAAAAATGTTTTCAATTCCCAAAGTACAAAGGAAGTGTGTCTCATCAGTGCCTATTAACTCAGTCTATCAATTTCCACTAAACATGAATTCAGTGTCAATTCCAAAGGCACTAGAGGGAAAACACAGGGCTCCATAAAAGTGAACTTAAAAATAAAGCAACAGGGGGCGCCTGGGTGGCTCAGTTGGTTAAGCGGCCGACTTCGGCTCAGGTCATGATCTCGTGGTCCGTGAGTTCGAGCCACGCGTCGGGCTCTGTGCTGACAGCTCAGAGCCTGGAGCCTGTTTTGGATTCTGTGTCTCCCTCTCTCTGACCCTCCCCCGTTCATGCTTTGTCTCTCTCTCTGTCTCAAAAATAAATAAACGTTAGAAAAAAAAAATTAAAAAAAAAAATAAAGCAATAGCCGTGTCCAGCATGCAGCTGAGCCAAATCAAAGTACTCAAATAACAGCTGCAGTTGAGAAGATGCTTACAAGGTACTTTCCACAGAATTTCCTTTAACTCTTACAACCCTGAGATGCAGTTATCTACATCAGTATGAAAGGAACATGCCCACAGTGAGAAAGGCAGAATTATAACCAGGTGTGTCCAACTCTGGAGCCCAGGCTTTTTAAGAAGCAATACAATGCCTGCCTGGGTGGTGCAGTCAGTTAAGCGTCCGACTTCAGCCAGGTCACGATCTCGCGGTCCGTGAGTTCGAGCCCCGCATCGGGCTCTGGGCTGATGGCTCAGAGCCTGGAGCCTGTTTCCGATTCTGTGTCTCCCTCTCTCTCTGCCCCTCCCCCGTTCATGCTCTGTCTCTCTCTGTCCCAAAAATGAAATAAAACGTTGAAAAAAAAAAATTAAAAAAAAAAAAGAAGCAATACAATGCCTCCATGGTAATAGGCAAGGAGCCCGATAAAACAAGTTTGACACTAAGCTGATTCAAATACAGCAAGCAACAAAAACAAGCACTCTCTTTTGAGCATCTTCATTTCTCGTGCAGCCATACGAAGTTTTCCAAGAGCTGCCAGCCAACTTCTAGCAGATTAAAATCTTGAAAATAAGCTAAAAGAAGGAACTTCACAATATTTTTACAGTACTGTACATAATTTACAACTACTATACAAAACCACACATTTAATACAAATAATACTGTAACATAACAATATAATTATTGTCCAGCAAAGAATCCGTGGGAGATGTCCAACTCACTTGGAGCAGCTGTGCATTCTCCATCATGATTCCTCTTAGGGGATGCGCCAGGGCGATCACACTGTAAAGACAAAACAAGTGCTTAAATGTGAAAAGTTAGTACAGTTGACACTTGAACAATGTGGGGGTTGGACGCCAAACCCCTGTACAGTTGAAAATCTGCATATAACTTCTGACTCGCCCCAAAACTTAATAGCCTACTGATGACCAGAAGCCTTACCAATAACTAAACAGTCGACTAACATATATTTTGTATGTTATCTGTACTATGTACTATATTTTTACAATGAAATGAGCTGGAGCAAATCAAAAAAATCATGAGAAAATACATTTACATTATTGTATTTACTAACAAAAGGTGTGTATAAGTGGACTTGTACAGTTCAAACTTGTGTTGTTCAAGGATCCAGCTGTATTTTGAGATCATTAACTGATCCAGAGCTCTCATGCTTAAATTCTCTCCACATAAATTATGTTTATTTCAACCAGCACAGCTCTTCTTACAAAGGTACTGTAACTATCAGACACAGGAGTTGTTTGCCAAGTTGGTCAACTTAGCTCTAACATGTTATTGGGTCTAAGGACATGGATTTAACCCCCATATAAACGACTTGACTTTCCTTGGTTCCAGAGTTATATTCTCCAGCCCTAACCCCAGGAAACAGCCTAGTAAATGCAGGAACTATACACAACACAAGTAGCTGTGCATATATGACCCCATCAGCATGACAAGAAAAACTCAAAGTGCACATTCTTTAAAACAGTAATTGTAGATTTAATTAACAAAAATGACTGAAATAGAAGCAGTGACCATTTGCTGAGCACTTTTTGCAGGTCAGGCACTGTCACTGTTCTAAGCAATCTACATGAATGATCTCATTTAACACCCCCCAAATCCTACAAGGTAGACATCACCATCATCATCCCTATTTTATGCAAAAGGGTAACTGGACACCAAAACATTAAGTAATCTGCTTGAAGTTAGGTCTAATTCCAAAACCACACTGCAATACTTCTTCCTATAATAATTCTAAACTTGAGAACTAAAGGGGTAGTAATACAGAACCGAATTGTTGCAAAAATAGGTAAGTTCACAAATATCCCAGCAGAAATTTTAAATGAAATGAAGCAAAATGAGGTGATGTTTTCTAAAGGACCAAACCAGTTTCAAAAGGACCAACCCTAATAAGCCAAATGATCTCCAAACTCCAAGATGGAAAGTTTTCATACCACTGCACCAGATGCTGGGTGGACGATCCACGCGTATTCTGGACGAATAAGTCGTAAACAGTTAACAGCGGCCAAGTAACAGTTGCCTTGCTTCTCAAGTCCCCGCAGAGTTCGAACTTCTCTGCCAAGACGCATTCCATACTCAAACATCACTGTACCAGCTAGGAAGCAATAATAAGTCAGATATCAGAACTTCAAAAATGTGTTTTAGACGGGCACCTGACTGGCTCTGCCCGAAGAGTATGTGACTCTTAATCCTGGGGTTGTAAATTCAAGCCCCATGTTGGGTGTAGAGATTACTTAAAAAATAAAATATTAAAAAAATGTGTTTTAGAGAATCTGTTATACTAATCAAATAATAAAATTTAAAACAGGATTGAGTTTAACTTAAAACCCCCAAAAATCCTGGGGTATCTGGGTGGCTCAGTCGGTTGAGTGTCCAACTTCAGCTCAGGTCATGATCTCATGGTCCGTGAGTTCAAGCCCTGCATTGGGTTCTGAGCTGACAGCTCAGAGCCTGGAGCCTGCTTCGGATTCTGTGTCTCCCTCTCTCTCTGCCCCTCCCTTGCTCATGCTTTGTCTTTCCCTCAAAAATAAACAAACATTAAAAACACACACACACACACACACACACAATCCTGTGTTGGTGAGGATGTGGAAAAACTGAAACTGCTTTACACTGCTGGTGGGAATGTAAATTGCTGTACCTGCTATGGAAAACAGTATTGACAGTTCCTCAAAAAATTAAAAATGGGATTACCTTGTGATCCAGCAATTTCACTCCTGGACATATAGTCCAAATATGGAAAACAGGGCTTTGAGGAGATATTTGTATGCCCTTGTTCATAGCAGCCTTTACTCATATTATCCAAAAGATGATGGCAATCCAAGCATCCATTGATGGATGAACAAAATGTGACATATATATATAATGAAATATTGTTCAGTCTTAAAAAGAAGTTACATGTGGGCGCCTGGGTGGCTCAGTCGGTTAAGTGTCTGACTTCAACTCAGGTCATGATCTCACAGTTGGTGGGTTCGAGCCCTGCATCGGGCTCTGTGCTGACAGCTCAGAGCCTGGGGCCTGTTTCGGATTCTGTGTCTCCCTGTCTCTCTCTGCCCCTCGCCTGCTCATGCTCTCTTTCTGTCTCTCAAAAATAAATAAATGTGAAAAAAAATTTTTTTTCAAAAAGAGGTTACATGCTACAATATGGATGAACCTTGAAGATATTATGCTAAGTGAAATAAGCCAGTCAAAAGGGGTGCCTGGGTGGCTGAGTTGGTTAAGTGTCCGACTTTGACTCAGGTCATGTTCTCACAGCTGGTGAGTTTGAGCCCCACATCAGACTCGCACTGACAGTGCAGAGCCTGCTTGGGATTTTTCTCTCTCCCTCCCTGCCCCCTTCTGTCCCTCCTGCACTTGATCTCTCTCTCAAAATAAACAAACTTAAAAAAGCCAGTCACACACAAAAAATACTATATGATTCCAGTAGCCAAATTCATATGGACAGAAAGTAGAATGATGGTTGCCAAGGGCTGCAGGAAGTGGAAATAGGAAGCTGTTGTTTAATGAGTATAGTGTTTTCATTTTGCAAGATGAAAAGTTCTGGACATTGGTTACATGTAATGTGAATGCACTTAGCATTACCGTATACTAAAAGTGGTTACGTTAGTAAAGCTTATATGTATTTTACTACAATAAAAAAAAAGAAAAAAAGATCATGTAAATATCATTTCTGACATTCATTCATTCATTCATTCATTCATTAATTCATTCAGAAAGTAATCTCTATATCCAATGTGGGGCTTGTGATAACTCACAATCCTGAGATCAAAAGTCCCAAGCTCTACCAACTGAGGCAGCCAGGTGCCCCGATTTTTGACTTTTAGATACTACATTCCCAGACAGTACAGAAGACTAGTTTAGAAGGCTACTTTCAGCCACATTGTTACCTAATTCCACACCATGAGACCAAGAAATGTTTGGATGCTCTGCTCAAGAACAGATTATTTTTATAAAACTTTAGTTACACAGGTTGAATGAGATACTGAGGAACACCTTGTTCTGAGACAGCATGAGACTCCAGAAATCAAAGGGCATTAAAAATATCTTTTAGTTTTCATGGGGCGCCTGGGTGGCGCAGTCGGTTAAGCGTCCGACTTCAGCCAGGTCACGATCTCGCGGTCCGTGAGTTCGAGCCCCACGTCGGGCTCTGGGCTGATGGCTCGGAGCCTGGAGCCTGTTTCCGATTCTGTGTCTCCCTCTCTCTCTGCCCCTCCCCCGTTCATGCTCTGTCTCTCTCTGTCCCAAAAATAAATAAAAAACGTTGAAAAAAAATTAAAAAAAAAAATCTTTTAGTTTTCAAATGAAACTATTTTTCATTCCAAGTTTTAAAATTTATACAATTTTATTTAAATTGAAGTTAATTGACTTTTTCTCCCCAACAAATGTTTCTGAGTGCCTGCCATATGTAAGACATTTTGTTAGAAGAACAAGCCTTGCTTCAGAAAGACCTGGACATTCATCAGGCTAAACTGGTCTTAACCAAGTTGATGTAATGGATGTTGTAACTATAAACGCCAACAGGGAGCGGTACTTAATCACCTATATTTCTCTGTATGGGTCAAGGAGATAAGTAATACACACACGTTTTACCGTTAGGAAAATTAAGAGCATGTCTACAAATTACTTCCATCTATTCTTGCCAATGAAAATCAGCAAGAAACCTTATTAAAAGTTTTCTGAGTGAAAATGGTATAAAAATGTTACCATTTCCAAAGGGGAACCACAATGGTGATCTTGTAAAATAAGATCTTCTAATAGACATGTAATCCCTTCATTTTAGCTGTTCTTTTTTTTTTTTCCTGTCTCAAAGACTAATTTTTTTTAAGCCTCCAAGGCTCAAATTTTTTTTAATGTTTATTTATTTTGAGAAAGAGTGAGAGGGTGTGTGTGCCTGTGTGAGCAGGGGGA